CGATATAAGTTCTGTGGACTTGATATAGCGACATTTTGTGTGCGTGAAAAGTGCTTAGATATAGCAACATTTTGTGTGCGTGAAAAGTGCTTAGATATAGCGACATTTTGTGTGCGTGAAAAGTGCTTAGATATAGCGACATTTTGTGTGCGTGAAAAGTGTTTAGTGTCTAGTGTTTTCCACTCTCCTGAGAATAGAGAGCCCCTATAATTCTTCCCCGTGCTCTGGTGTGGTTTGCTTCTTCTTTCCTATCAAACATCTGTTGTCTTTATGTCTCCTCCTTCTCTTTTGTTTGTTACTCTCTTGTAACTCCTCTAATCTTCGGCTCTTGTAGGACCTTATTGTGTTGCAAGTGCCGTAAAACTCTTACTCAAACATAGTTCTTCCCCCCTCAGGGTGAAGAAAGAAGTGAAGGAGGAAGAGAAGGAGAAAGAAGGAGAGGCGGACATCTCAGAGGGAGAAGTGGCAGGTACTGAGGCGGAAGGTCGGTACTCCTTCGTGTGTCTGCCCGTGTGTCTTGCGTGTGTGACCCGACCTGGTTTGCTGTGGGCTTTGTCTCCACGTCCCTGACCGGTCTCTTTGTCTGTCTTCACTTTCCTGTCCCATCTGTCTCTTTGTCTGTCCCCCACATCGTTGTTGCTTGCTCCTTCTTTCCAATCATACATCTATCGTCCTTATCTCCCCTTCTTCTTTTTTATGTATGTTTGTTACTCTCTTGTAACACCTCTAATCTTCGGCACCTATATGACATTATTGTGTTGCAAGTGCTGTAAAACTCTTACTAAAACGTAACTGTCTTCACCTCCCTGTCTCCCGTTCCCTGACCTATTTCTTTGTTCCCCTGTCTTTTGTTTCAAGTTTGTCTTGCGGGGTGTGTGGTAGGTGCTGCTGTGTGTGGGGTTTTTTCCTACTTTAATTTTTTTTTAAAATATTATTCTCCTTCCTATCATACATTTGTCTTCTTTATCTCTGTGGGTGGTTGGCGGGTGCTCTGATGTGGTTTACTCCTTCTTTCCTACCAAACATCTATCATCCTTCACTCTCCCCTTTTTGTGTGTGTGATTGTTACTCTCTTGTAGCACCTCTAATCTCTGGCACTTATATGACCTTAATGTGTTACAAGTGCCGTAAAACTCTTACTAAAACTAAAACCTTATCCCTTATCTCTTCTCCTTCTTGTCTCTGTGTATCACTCTCAAGTAAGTGGGTGATTGGCAGGTGCTCTGATGTGGTTTGCTTCTTCTTTCCTATCAAACATCTGTCGTCCTTATCTCCCCTTCTTTTTTATGTTTGTTACTCTCTTGTAACAGTTCTCATCTTCTGACGCTCATATGACCGTATGCAGTTGCGAGCGCCGTAAAACCTCTACTAAAACTAAACTGACTTTTCCCCTCCACCACCACCGATGGACCATGATTCTTGTGATGATTTGCTTCTCTTTACTCACGAGGAAAAAAAAAAGAAGAATTTTTACCTTGTACTTGGATTGTAATCTTGCATTGTGGTTTGTTTTTTTGTTTGTTTTTGTTTATCAGGAGGCGTCCACAACTGTGCCGTGTGCAAAGTGGAGCTGGCCCACTTTGGCCTGAGCCGACCTCTGACCTCGGTGAACTGCGAGCAGTACAACATGGCCGCCGCCGACCTGCAGCCGGAGATGAGGGTGTGCAGCTCGTGTCGGTGCCGCACCGTGCGCAAACGCTTCTCGCAGTGAGTCGTTGTTTTTGTTTGGGGGGTGCGGGGTGCGTGCGTGCGCAAACGCTTCTCGCAGTGAGTGGTTGTTTTTGTTGGTGGGCGGGGAGGGGGAGGATGCGCGCGTGCGCAAACGCTTCTCGCAGTGAGTCGTTGTTTTTGTTGGTGGGCGGGGAGGGGGAGGATGCGCGCGTGCGCAAACGCTTCTCGCAGTGAGTCGTTGTTTTTGTGGGGGGGCGGGGAGGGGGAGGATGCGCGCGTGCGCAAACGCTTCTCGCAGTGAGTGGTTGTTTTTGTTGGTGGGCGGGGAGGGGGAGGATGCGACCGTGCGCAAACGCTTCTCGCAGTGAGTCGTTGTTTTTGTTGGGGGGGGGGGGGGGGGAGCGTGCGTGCGTGCGCAAACGCTTCTCGCAGTGAGTCATTGTTTTTGTGGTGATGTTTGTTTTATTGTGTGAGTGTGTGTGTGTGTTGGGGGGAGGATGCGCAAACGTTTCTCGCAGTGACTGATTGTTTGTGTGTGTGTGTGGGGGGGAGGGGGGGTTGCTGTGGTGTGGTTTGCTTCTTTCCTGTCAAACATTTGTCGCCTTTATCCAAATGGGCTGATTCATCATGTCACGCTCATAACTGTGCCTGATCTACAACAGGAAACTGCTCCTTTTTTATACCTAATCCTTACTATTGTCATTTCCCTCTACTTCTTTTGTATGTTTGTCACACTCTTGTGCCGTAAAACACTTACTAAAATGAAACGTGTTTTTCAGCTGCCCCATGCCGACCTGCCGCACACCGAAGAGGAAGACGAAGAGACTGCGGCCCGTTCCGGCTAAGTGGCCCCAGCTCCCCGCTGACCAGAAGGCTGCCATCATGCAGGAGTTTCGTAAGTTTTCTTCTCGTCAAACTACCTAAAACAGTTTTTTAAACACCCTATGTACCACCTAGAACGCTCAGATCATCAAGTGACAAAGCAACCCTTGTTAGACTTAAAATAAATAAAAAATCATATGGCCATCGCTCTTTTGCCCCACTTGTTTGGAATAGGCTTCCAAAAACTATCAGATGAGAAGCAGAAAGTCTAGAAACTTTTTGGAAAAAACTAAAAGCATTTCTCTCTTGTAACACATCTAATCTTCGGCATTTATATGGCTTTATGCTGTTGTGAGCGCCGTAAAGCTCTTACTAAAATTTTAAAAAAGACTTGTTATGCCAGCTTTCAACTCGGAAATCAAACTTGCAGTTTATTCACCCCCCGGGGCGGTGCCACTGACTGAAGTGTCTTCAGGCCATTCCCAAAGGGGGGACATTTCTTGTTCATGCACAGCAGAATTGTAAATGGGCTGATTCATCAATGTCACGCTCATAACTGTGCCTGATCTACGACAGGGAACTGCTGCTTTTTCTGTCCTAATCCTTACTATTGTCATTTTTCCGGGGTGCCTTGATAGTCGAAGCAGACTTTGTGCTGTTGAAGCTAGAGAGGTGAGCAGAGCAAGTCTGATTCCCTGTAAGGACTTCTCTGTTGAAATCCACCCCTTGGCGCTCATATGACCTTATGCAGTTGTGAGCGCCGTAAAACCCTCTACTAAAACTAACCTGAGCAGTTTGTTCATGTGTTTTGTCTTCTCTCCCTCTCTCCCAGAACTGCAAGAGGACATCTCCAAGTGCTGCTCAGCATGTTTCAACCGCTTGTCGCGCCGGCTGGAGGCAGAGACCAGTGTGACTTCTGCTGCCCCTGACGTGTCCGCTGGGCTGGCTGAGAGTACCTGTGAAGGTGAGGGGGAGGGGAAGAGGGAGGGATGGAGGGAGGGAGAGAGAGAGGGAGGCAGAGACCAGTGTGACTTCGGCCGCTCCTGATGTGAGCGCTGGGCTGGCTGAGAGTACCTGTGAGGGGGAGGGGAAGAGGGACGGAGGGGGAGAGAGGGAGGGATGGAGGGAGAGAGAAAGGGAGGCAGAGACCAGTGTGACTTCGGCCGCTCCTGATGTGAGCGCTGGGCTGGCTGAGAGTACCTGTGGAGGTGAGGGGAGAATTGAGGCAGAGAGAGAAATGAGGGAAGGTAGGAGAGAAAGAAAAGTTTGAGAGGAGAAGAGGAGGAAACTTCTTGAACAAACCGGGTTGCTGTGGCTTATGAGCAATTTGTACAGCAGGCATACTGCGCATGTCTTTTACTTGGATAAAAATTGTTGATAATTTAAACCTTCATAAAAAGATAAATTCATCTTTTTGTGTGGGGGAAGAATGAAAGAGGCATCAGGTCCACTGTTTTAGTGCGGATAAAAAGATGTTCGGGTTTGTGTACATATTTAGGCCTAGTTCAGATTTGTATGCATTCAAGCACGTTCCCCTTCTTCCCATGCTCTTGTTTAGACTGCCGTGTTGTTCATTCCTTAGTGAAATCTGGTCTAGAGGCCGGCCGATTGTATGCCTGAAGATATGTTGTCCCTTTTCCCTAAAACTCAGTTACTGAGAATGAATGATTTTGTAACACGTGTATATAAGTGTAATTCTGTTGTCTCCAGATTCTATTGAGAATTCCAGATGGACAGAAGAAGAAATGGACAAAGCAAAGAAAGGTACAGTTGTAATGCATTAAGCAACTTATGGTGTGATGATGAAGAAGAAGATGATGATGATGAAAATAACCATTTGTCACAAATTGTGATGTATGTAGAACTTGTCTCCTTGTTATGACCGTGAGGCTACGTTGAACTGGGAAACCCCC